TAAGAATATATCTGTGATTAATTGGCAAAACTCCAGCCGATGATGAGTATTTTGAAAATGGCTATAATGGGCCAGCCGATAAATAGGTCGGGCCTTAGTTCTCATATGGCAAAGTCAGACAGCCAATCTTATCCCAGCTTGGCAGATACAACATTATGGGTCATAGACCCAAAAAATAAAAAATCAGTAACACTTTAAATGTTCAGTCCAGGTAGAATGTTTTCACGGCTTCACCATCAAACTGCCCTTCCAACAGGCAACTCTTCAGAGCCAGACTCCTTGGACAAAAACAATCATTCTATCTTGGAGAACACAGAGGCTGCTGACCTGTGCTCGTGTGACTTCAGTGTTTTAACATGTTGGTTTGGATCCAAAACACTAATTATACAAGTCTGGTGGCTCCGAGGAGAGAGATATGAAAGTTTGGTTTTGTCTAACAGCAAGGTAGAGTGGTGAAAATATTTTAATGTAATGTTCTTTTAAATGAATATTGCTTTTCTTATTTTGGAGCTGGGCTCTGTTTTGGTGGCCTAAACATGTTTCTGCAGTTGTTTCATTACGTTCCATGCTAAACCTCCTGTCTGCTTCTCCAAACTAGGAGCATGTCATCCTCTACTGACCGTCGATGTGTAGCTCATACTGTTAAGAAATATCCCTTTAAAAGAGAAGCAGAGAGTCTGACACCAAATAACTCATATGATGGCATTAGTGAGGGTATCTGGTAGTTCTTCTACTAACTTCTGCCTCTGAAGTTGGGAAACTTCAAATTAAAGTTGTTATAGTTCCCACAGTCTCTGGTGGAGGGTACCTGAATCAAACTGGACCTGAATGCTGACACAATGTCCTGTTTTTAGAAGAAGAAAAAAAAATCCAAGAAAAATGAATTTCCCATTACGGAAGCACTCTTTGTCCAATTCAGAGTTCACAGAAACATGGGAGACTGGTGAATAACTGGTTACCTGTTACTCGGGTTACATGAACTTCAACTCACCAGAATAACCAGAGTCTTTCTCTGAGCTGCAGCGGGAAGTCCTTCTGCTGGAATCCTCTCTGTCTTTAGTGCCACGAATTGCCAGAAGAGTCGTACTGTTGCTCTTGTCTTTAGCATTCTTGCTGGAATTAGCACAAGGACTGCGCTCGCTCAAGCCAGGTTCTTCCTTCGGCATACTGCAACCTAATAAGAAGATATGTGACATTTAGACTGTCTCCAAATGCCAAATAATACCAGGAAAAAAAAACTAAAAACATAAAGTTTAGCTTTCATGTGTGAGGCCTGAGAGAGACGAGTGACTCGACTGCACCCTGAATGACATCCCTGGCATGCCAGGACGGGACACAGCCCCTCATGGGGACACAGCCCCTCATGGGGACACAGCCCCTCATGGGGACACAGCCCCTCCTGGCTCTTGGTAGGACTCTCTTCGATGGTGGGCCGTCTGTAATTTGCCTCAGTCCTCATTGGATTGTGCATTTGCTTGCACAGCAGCTTTGTACCGTATCAGCAGTATTTCCAGTGTTGTTCACTGTGTGAATCCACAGAAGCACAGGCCCAGTTGCTTTTGGGGTTGGAATTTAATCTGCATAGCATCTATTCACAGCCCACAGCTACACTCAGGTTCATATTTTTAGTAATTAAGTCTTAACTCCAGGGGCACAAGTATATATTGTACCGAGTATGTATTTGAAAAGCAAAGGGTGACCAAAGACAGTCCCAAACTCTACTTTTATACGTACATTTTGTTGTAGACCTTAGAAAATATGAAGCAAAAACCCTGAACAAGTCAACAGGCAGCTTTCTAGTCTGTGTGTCCACATCTCACAGCCACATGAACATTATTCTGCTTTGAGGCCACAGAGACATCCACCAATCTGTTTACACCAATAAGATGCTGGCATTCAAGGGAACAGGAGGAAATATGTTCAGCTTTGTACAGGACTGTGGAGTTAAGCACCAGTCAGCGCTCCACATAAAGACACGATCATGGATTAAACTGCTAAAAACTCATTTGGACAAATCAAAGTTACATATTTAGAAGTGGTTCCTTTACACTATTGCTTCTTCCAGAATGAGCACAACTCCAGAGTCCTGGCTGGAGTCTTGTCCCATCCAGGCAGCCATCCAGTGCATGTTGGGGCATGTTGTCTGCGGCATCGTGCTGTTAAAACCGACTTCTTAGATGACAAACGGTGAAGATGTGGACATTCAGGGACGCCCCTCGCTGACACGACAGCTTCCTGCATGCCAACGGCCCGTTCTCGTCTTTCTCTTGTCATCTGTGGCTTCATGTTGTTTGAATGAAACTGCTTCTTAAGGTTGCCGTTTGTTGTCACCAGTCTAAGTACTGGTAGTAGCACTAGTCTGTGCACCGCTCACGCTGTCTGATCACGGTGCTTCAGTAGGCTGAGGGTTCAATGAACTCAGTGGTCGTGAATTTGTCAAAAACTTCTGGAGTGCAATCAGCAAAGTTTAAACCCCAAGACTTACATTTTGGACTTTTTTTCTCAGTCAGAGAAGAACGTTTGCCTGCTGCATCTGTTTGTGAAGAACATTTGACCAAAAACAAACTTCTAAATGTATCTGTCATCGTGACACGTAACCGATTAGAGAAACGAAGAGAGGCTGACAAAGGGGGAAAGCTGAATGTCGGCTGATCCCAGAGCTGCTGCTTGTGGATCCAGAGACGAGCTGCAGAAGGGTTTCGGCTGCCTTGTGTCCTCCAGGAGGACCTGAGCTCATCACTGTTCCTGCTGGTCAAAGTTCAAACCCCAAAACAGCTGGGACGTTCTCAGCTCTAAGAGATCCTCCTCCAGCCGGCCACAGAGCAGGAGGTGGGAGGACCAGGCCTGCTCTCCACATCAGCTCTCTGACCTGGAGCACCTCGTGGCATTATCGTGGACAAAACCTCTGACCCAGCCTTTCCTTGAAATGTCCCACCATCCTGGAAGAACTTAAAACGCACCGTTCTACTAAATGGACTGGGCTCAGCTTTGGAGCTGCTGCTGATAGTTGGGGCGGCAGAGGTTCCCTGAAGGCAGCAGAGGTTCCCTGAGGTTCCGTGAAGGCAGCAGAGGTTCCCTGAGGTTCCGTGAAGGCAGCAGAGGTTCCGTGAAGGCAGCAGAGGTTCCCTGAAGGCAGCACATCTGAGCGGAACCAACTGTTACATAACTTTAAGTTCAGCCCTCTGACACACTTCCTCCCACTGCTCGTCAACACACAAAGAAAACACGGCATCCACAGCGGTCGACATCGTTCACAGCCCGACAACCGCGTGAAGACAAAGTCATTAAAGAGCAGAAAAAACACGACTTCTGTAAATATCCGGTCTGCTGCAGAGCTTTAAAATGTGTTCCCTCCATCTCTGTGCCGCTCACCCTGACCAGCAGCAACTTGTCCTGACTGATGTCCGTCGGAGCTTCAGCTCGGACGGATTATTTCGGACATTTTATTATTTAATAGAGTGACAGCGCCGCGGACACAGCGTCCGTCAAGTTAGCCAAACGAACACATCCAGCGGATTTCAAAATAAAACCCACAATTAAAAAACATTTTAAAAAAAAATATTGCCTTTCTAAATAACATGATGTGCTGCAGCAAGACTTGGCCCAATCCAGAGTCACTGCATTGGTTTTGTATTCTTAGACCAGTACCTACCGGTGTGGTTGTTCAGGAGTACCGACTGCGACGCCTTTGTTCTGAAAGCCAGACGGCTGGTTGTAGCTAGCTTAACTGATGTGCCGATTAAATAAAGTGAGAAAACACAATCCGTATCGACACCGATGTGCTGGATCCTGTGTGCAGCAACGAGGCAGACCTGAAGGAGCCCACCGGCAGCACCATTGGGTCTGCTTCACAACCGTCCCGACCGGACCGGCGGCCGCCTGCTGGAACACCGACCAGACACAATAAAGACTCGAGCTCAGCGTCCATTGGTGCATGAGCCAACTACGACAGCCAATCAGCTGTTAGTGCACGTGTTGCAGCGAGACAGCGGTGATTCAGGGACACCGAGGAGTGCGGAAAACAAAGAGGTTCAGCACTCAGTGTCCTCCTCATAAGCCACGACTAGGATTTGCATTGAATAGTGTTTCTGCAAACATGACAGCTGCACAAGAACTGGAGCTAATCAGAAACACATGTACAAGAAATCATTTGTGTAAACAATGGAATTAAAGCTTGAAAACAATTGAGAGCTCATCTTATTAGGGCAGGTGTAGGACACACATCCCACAGTACAGAAATGACAGCTGCACATGTGCATTAGCTTCTTTATGTTACTTGAGAAATGCCTGATGTGAAGTTATGCTGTAGCAGCTTCTGCTTGGGAAAAGGAATGGCCAGAGATGCAGATGTGCAGTCAGAAGGTGGTTCTGCTCTATAGCATTGTGATCTGCAGCCACAGCCTGCTGGACTTGTAGCAGAATTTGCATACATCTGTGCAAAATAAACAGCCAAATCTCAACATTCTGCAGCAGACACTTTATTTTTACATTAAAACTTCCTCATATCATTTGATAGACAGCCCACAACCTTTCCACAAATGACAAAACAAGGACACAATTCAAATATTTTCTAAATTGGCTGCAAGATAAGATCATAAAACAGGTGTGCAACTAAGTTGGCTAAATCACATGCATGCAAAATGCATGGCATTCATGCCTGGAATCAAATCTCTCACTTCTTCCTCACCCATTTACATGGTAGCTCCTCAGGATCCATGGCCAGGAACATAATGCCTTGGCCAGAGGGTTGGACCACAAGGAGTCAAGGCCTTGTTTGATACGGTGCGTACATTGAAGCAGAGGTGCATAATTAAGCTCCTTCCAGTCAACTTTGTCATGTGCATACACCCAGCAGACCAGGGGCGTTCTTCAGACCCGGGTGTCTACTGACATGCAAGGTCTCTGGGGAGGAGAATTTACTAAAAGTAGCACAGGTCTCTTGAGTATGGGCCTTGGCTGCAGCGCTGGCTAGAATGTGCATGACCCTCAGCAGAGTAGTCTCACTGAAAAACACAAAGCATGCAGATGTCAAACTGACAGGCAAGACGAATGGTCACCAAGAAACATAAAAATAAAATAAAAACACATGTAAGCAGCAACACTTTGTGCATAAAGTGCAAAATGCATCCAGCTGCACACCTGCCGGCATGGATGCTGGAGGCCAGACACCAGGCAGCCTCCCCCTCTGCTGTCGGAGGCTCCTGCAGGACTTGGCGAGCCAGGCAGAGGGCCGCTCCAGCCAGCTGTGCTGGCAAAAACACCACGCACTGGCCCTCCAGGAGAGACAGCTCCAGCAGATACCGAGCCATCCACACCACCTAGTGACACACACGACAGGTGGGATGACATGCTAAGCCTTAGTGGAAGTGGAGGGAAAAAAAGTGGACAAAAAGAGTGTAGATCTACCATCGCACTGCAGCGAGCGATGGAGGCAAAGAGAAGAAGGAAATGCAATGGGGGGCAGTAGGACAGATCAAACTTAAGCCCATAGAGGACTTTACGCTCCATCCGCAGCAGCTGATGCTTTGTGTAGGTGTGATCCATCAAGTAGCAGAGCTCTGACACCTGGAAGAAAAACCACAAACAAATCAGGAAAATCCATCTTTTCTTTCAAGAGAAGATGATCCCACTCAATTAAAAAGGTACCAACTATTAATGCCACAAGCTTTAGAGCTGCCAGTTGATAGCCAGCCATAAAAAACAAACAAAAAAAAGTCCACCAAAAAAGCAATTATGGATTATTTAGAAATGTTAGCACACTTAGCTATATAGTACATGAGGGCTGAGCCAGTGTACCTCAGGGAGATGACTCTCTTCCTTCTTTGCTGCAAGGAAGAGGCAAACCATGCCGAGGAGCTGGAGGTTGGCTGTGGTCACCTTGATCTGTCGCAGGGAGTAGTTGAGGAGGTGTATGGCAAGATAGAGAGTCTCTTCTTGGAAATGCATCATCTCCTGGCAGGAAATAAATGGAATGTTTATCACAGAGACTGGAGAAAAATACCCCGACCCTCAGGTTAAGTTTACAGGAATAGTTTTGGTAAATAAGCTAATACACCTGGCAGATTTAGTTAGGATGATCAACACTACTCGAATAGCAATGATGCATGCAAGTTAAAGCTAGCCAACACTTAGATTAGCTTGTAGTTTGGACAGGACAGGCAGTCACAGCAGCTGGCCAAGAAACAGTAAGGTACATGACCCCTTCTAAGACCTTGGGTTTTACAAGTTGGTTTTGTAACCACAAGTCATGTGTTATTTCATAAGTTTTACAGGTGCTGGCTAGTGGTCCTTGCTGCTTTGGCTGTATAGTACATCCATAGTTGGTAGGTATAGAACAACCTAATGTTACTTTAGGGTACTGAAAGTAGTTGACTCTTGCACCGAGCCGAAACTAAACTACTACACTTATATTAAGTCCGTTTATGAGTGTGGGGAAAGCTAAAAGTTTCAAAGGGAGAGATTCACATGCATGTGGCCGGACCGGCTACCGAAACAGGAAAACTTGGATTACAAATCCCACAGAAAGCCCACATGTGACTTCAGTGTCTGATGAGGAAGCATTACTTCATACTAACTTTATGTTCCAAATCTAGCACACTGCACCTTTAAGAAAAAAGAACCATTTCATTTAAAAGGGACACTCACGTGAACTTGAATGATCCAGTCCACGAGGATGGCTCGAGTGGCATCAGTGAAATTCCGGGGGAGGTCAGCGTTGGGAAAAGAGTTCCGAGTTTGACTTTTCTACAGGGCAAAACCAGAAAACAGGAGGCTGCTAAAAAAGAACAACCACCAAGAGCTACGCTGCAATTGTAAGAATACGACACTTTCTAGGTCGCCTCTCTTGTCTGTGATTAATGGTGAGGTCCGTGTATTTTAGGGACAGTGATAACTCAGATTGAGACACAAAGCAGTTTAGTGACCATTGTTGATGTCTCACCATCATGTCTAAGAACATCTCCCAGGCATACATCCGGTCCAATGTGAGCCCCAGTTTCTCCAGTGCAATCTCTACTTCATGCCGCAGCAAGCTGGGAACTAAGGCCTGTAAGCTGTGCAGACCCTTCAGGCCATGAGGGTAAAGGAGCACAGGCTCCTCCACACACCCATCTGCCATACAGGCTGGTAAAGGAGCCAAGAAGAAATGACAAAATAACTGGTCACTAACAAAGTTATCTCCAATTTACATGAGCACTGACGACTTATTTTGTCACTGACTAAAAACGTCTCATCTTTCCAACACAAAACATGTTTCATTGCATTATTTTCCATCAACTATCGACTTAAGAGCAAAAGTGATTCTCCATTATATACTGCATTTATTTGAGACAGAAAAATGCTTGATTCCACTACCTGCTGAGCACATCCCACTGTCTTCATGAAAGCCCATGATGATGCTTTCACTGGTTGTTAGCCTCCTTTCCTGCAAACAATGCCTCAAACATCAGAACAAAGTGTGCCCAGATCATTGTTATGATCACGACAGAAAAAGTGTAGCAGATGCACCAAATCAAGCTTCTGTTTCTACAAAAGAAAAGTTGTGTTTGTGGGCTACCTAAGTGTGAAATGCATTTGCGTGTTTCCCCATGGGGACAAATAAACGTCGATCTATCCTTCAAATTCTGACAGTATTCCTTTAACCACTTGGACATTGCCTCGAAAAAGTAGTAACACAAAAACAAAAAGACACTGAAGCAGGTTTCGGGTGAAGGTAAGAAGCAGGACAGAAGCCATACCCATCTGCATTCTGGTTCCGTTTTGACCATGGCCATCCTGGGCTCGTCTGCTTCCACCGCCTGCCAGCGATCTACAGGCCCGCAGGCATTAGCCCATGTTCTTAATGGGGCTCGTCTCTCATCCGCCTGGTGGGAAAACAGAGCATCTTTGCCCAGACACTTAGGCAATTCTGAATATTTAAAAAGCGTGCCGCCCCATTTCTAATCAGCACAACTGAGGGAAAAGGTCTGTTGCCTTCATTGGTGTTGCAAGTGGCTGCTGTATTGTCCTCATGGCTATCAGCTGACAAGAAGGCCTGAGAGCTCATTCATTTCAGTAGTGGTTCACTGATGGCCACCAAGATTCTGCTCTAAACACTGCAATCAAGCACCTGGCATCATGGCAGCTGAATGCAATTACTGTCCTGACAATACAAACAAATGGTACACCCCTCTAAGTGAAGCCATCAAATGAGAAAAATCCTTGAAACTGTTAGAATACACAAACCAATGCATTACCTGTGATTGGTGAAAAGCAGTTTGTTTGTTCTATTTGCCCCATCAGATTGCTCAATAAACCCCCTTTGCCACCAGCTCATTTAGAAAATTACTGAAAAACTCATTAAGAGTGGAGGTAGAAAAGGCCTGTGTTCTGTAACAGCACCTGATTTACAGATTTTATTATATTTGGTTGATGTTGGCACACCGAGCAAACGCCCACCTTCTTGTGTAAGTCCAGCAGGGGCTTGGAGTCGCAGAACCCAGTCCTGGCCATGGTCACAGCCGGAGGAGTTCCCGTATCGGCCGCTGCAGCTACTTATCCACGGAGGTCGGCGGAGGCCTGGAGCAGAGAGAGGAGCCATGCTGCCTGGAGGGCGCTAATAAAGGCAGCTGGGGCCACGCTGATTGGGGCGGGCACAGCGTTGTCAAGGTGGAACTACCGGGCAACACTCAAAAAACACATAAACTAACCGAGTTCTGCACAACAAGACAAAGGACAGTAAGTTTTAAACAATGTTTTATGCTGAAATTCAGTTTTATGGGCTGATGGTGAAACCGTTTGTGTGACTCGGTAAGAAAAAAGCTCTGTGCAGTTGTGGCCTGTTGTTAAATAGCTTCTGAAAGTTCATACGACTAACTGCAAATTAACGTTAAAAATGAGCTTTCAGTTTTGAAAGGTAGATTTTTGTCGACCTCCACTTGTGTTTAAAGGAGAGACAATAATGATGCTTTCAGTGAGAACAGTGTTGTGACTCAATGTCAGAATTAAAGCTATTACCAGAGTTTTCACAATACTACAATAAAAACAACAACAACCCTAAGTTATTAAATAAACTGCTAACATACTTTTCTGGGAAACCTAGACTGTTTCAAAGACTTTTGGACAGTTCCTAAAATGTCATTTTGTGAAATAAAAAAAAAAAAACAACAAAATCTTTTCATTTAAATGTGTTTCTGGCCTACAACTGCCCAGTTTAGGAATTTTACACAATAACAAAAGCTATCTGCCTGAAAAACATACACCAGTCATCTACACTTTAATGTGGAATTGCAAAATAGAAAGTCATCTAATCTCCTCATTTGATCAAAGACATGCATTGCAATCTGGTGTAAAACATAATGCATGAAAAAAGACTCAAGAGATTTATTCAGTAAAAATGTTTACTGGCACATTATAGTTGCAAATGTTATAAGCTACCGTACTGTAGCAGGTGTCACCCGTTACATTGGAAAGTCTTGCAAAAGGGGGCTGGAAATGTCTACCAGGACAATGTCCTCCCCTTAAAGATTGCTTTTTTTTTCATTGCCCTCTGAGCCTCAACTAACAGCAACAAGCAAATAAAACTGTTACAGCAGCCTCAGGTGTGACATTCCTGACTGTTGTTCACATTCAAATATACAGAGAAGCAAGGTAACCATAGTAAAGCTGCAAATCAAATACTACGAAGCTGCAGGCCTCCCCTTCTACTAATGCTGCATTCACCAAGCTTTTTTTGGTATTTACACAATAATGAAGAGGCACTTGTTGTGCCTGTGTATGCCTACAGGAGAGGTCAGGGGTATTCACTTGCATGTTTAGCTGTGAAGCATTGCTTAAAGCGTGGCCAGCAGCGAGGTTCAGTGTATGGCTTCACAACCAATATCAAAAAAGTCCAGCAGCACCCCCTTATGGCCATGATAGCAATGAAGGCAAATCCACAGTGGAGTCCATCAGTGCAATGGTTCTGATGTCCGGCCCTGCCGTTTCCAAAGCAGGACGCTAGGCTAGAGTATGATGGCTGTGCCTGAGCCAGTGAGAAGAGGTGCTGGAGTTGTGAACTGTAAATCAAAGCCATTTGATCACATCATCATCTGCAGGAACTGGGCTCATCATGTTGTCGATGCTGAAAGTCAAAGACCTGCTGCTGTTCTGTGTCCATCACTCTCACACGTCTGGCAGCCACTCTGTCACTCACACAACTCAAAAGAAAAGCAAACCAGGATGGTGAATGAGGGACATCCCAAAGAATGCTGATGTATGTGTTCGCAGAACCCTTTAAACACCACTTTAACCTGTGCTCTGCAGAGAAGGGTAGGAAACGGTACTGGACGGCAGTTTACTTATTGTCAGCAGTACGGAGCAGATCAAGGAGAGCTCTTCACACACTGAGGTGAAATATTTCCTGGAAAACAGCCGAACCACTTTCAAATAATCTCAAATTTAATTTGGTTTTAAAATGCAATTTAAGCATACAGTTTTAGGACAAGTCTAGTTAATTGTTTTCTTTAGCAATGGTACGCTACACCGTGAATTCAGTTTTTGATGTGCCAAACCGATACGGTAATAAAGCAGAGCTGAAGTTAACGGTCTGTTCAGAGTTACGTCAGCTACAGTCTCAGATAAATAAGCAATCGTCAGCTGGAATCCAGTTGAAATGAAGAACTTAAAAGAAAGCAGTTTAAAAAACTTTTAATATATATATTTTATATAATGCTTAATTAAACAAGATAATGTGTCTTCCAAAATTTGTGAAATAGATGGACAAAAAAGGAGAAAAATCCACAAACAAAAACAAAACAAGGACATACAAGATGGTTGTGATGTTCCTTTAGTGAAGCTCAAAGAGCAAACCAGCATCTCTTCCAGCACTAAGGGTAACAACATGCTGTCCAGGGCTTCTCTCAATCATGTGCCGTCATGACTCAAAGTATGCAGGTTTCATGTCCACTTAACAATACAGACGATGTTCTGATTGGTTCCTCCTCTCTGCAGGCTGATGGTTGGTCAAACAGCTCATGCAGCATTTAGTTGATTGTAAACCTGCAGACTGTTGCTCCAGACATAAAACTACGTAGATTTAAATGCTTTGACACAGCATCAAAGAAAACACAAACCAAAGACTCAAAACATCAAATGTGGAATCATATGAAGTGTTAAATGTCCAACAAGTCAGTCAATTTTTGGCCTCTTACCAACGACTGAACTCATTCTTTAAATATGGGGACATTCAAAAGGGCATTTTACAAATATCTCAAAACTTCAACTCCTATTACAAACAGAAAACAAACAGACGATTGGTGCCCAACTCTTCAGCTGGGGAGTGAGAGGACAGCGTCTGGCTGTGTGCGTCTTTGTTGGTCTCTCTAGACAGGTTGGGGAAACCGTGGTCGTTTGCCTAGTCCCTGTTCTCGTCTTTCCTTCTGTCCTTATGGTCTTGAACACATAGTGCGACTGGCCTCGATGAAAACTTACCTACACTTCCAACCAGCTACTAGTTGGTCAGTCAGTCTGGATACAGCAACCTGGACTCTAAGAGCCTGACTGCGGCGTCCCTTCAAGTTAAATTAATGCAGCTTTTAAAGCAAAGGATAGCCATGCATGAGATCCCAGTTTCTAACCCTAACAAAGTCAATTTTGCGGCAAGCTGGTCACGGCACTCATAAATGACGCGCCTGTTCCCTTTAAACAAAAGCCATTGAGTGTGCTGTGTAGTGTCCTCTCATGTTGATATTCCAGCAAATGTTCAGAGGTGGAAAACATGTACAGAAACAGACACACATGGATGGCTGAGAATCAAAATGGCTGTTCATACATTCTCCTGCACTCGATGCACACGCGCACACGTTCACACATCCGCCCGTCCATTCACACAAACACACGTGCAGTGCAAACACAGTAATGGCAACCCTCCCCTCTTCCTCATTTCCCCCCTCTGAAGGAAAATCACACACTTGATTTGTAACAGCAAGTTCCAGAAAGAGCACTTGTTAAAAAAAAAAAGAAAAAAAAAAGAAAGAAATCACAAAAAAAAAGCAGAAATATGGCTTTACATTTAAAACCGTAACAACTGATGAAATAAAAATTTGTTTCTTTTCCAAATCTTTTCCATTTTCCTAATTGTGATTATACTTTTTCCAAATCTATCAAGTATGTTTATGTATATATGCAGTCTATGCATGGGTTGGTGTGTGTGTGTGTGTGTGTGTGTGTGTGTGTGTGTTAGCCTGTGTGTGAAGCATGGGTACAGCTGGTAAAGAGGTGGTACTTGCTGGCATAACCTGGTTTTCAAAGTGTCAAGGCTTTGATGTGGTGCCCAGTGTAGTGCAGCAAAGGTCCTGCAGGGAAGCCTACTGCCAGCCCTGAGAGGACGTTCAGAGACAAAGCTGCCAGTCTGTCCACACAGACCTGCTGAGGTCAGTCATTCACGGTCCGTGTGTTCATGTCTACTCTATGATCCGTGTCTTGTCTGATTTGCCAGTATATGTGTGCGTGTGCGTTAAAGACAGAATGAAAATGTGTCTTGTGCCACTTTTTGTTTGTGTCGTTCAGATTCCCCAGCAGTGCCAGTGTGTATGTGGGATTGTGATCGTGTGTCAGCCTGCCTGCTTGCTCAACACTCTGAGGAATCATTCCCGTATGCTGGCTGAGTAGGAGAACTGAGGGAAGTGAGTACGCTGATCTGAATCCTCTGCATCTAAACTGTCATCTGGGGTACACAGAGAGGGAGAGAACAAAACACACACAAGTTGAAAACAGACATGAAAGCTCGTAGCTTCTCAGAAAAAAAATAATGGAGCTAAACATAAACAAAAGCTGCTTGGGTCTACTTACACTTGTCTGGAGGAGTTATTGTGATAGTTTGTGCTGTGAACTCATCGTCAAAGTAACGCGTATCTGTCTCCGATGTTACCTGGGGCTTGAAGGGAGGAACAAGCTGAGGGGAGGAACAAAGTCACTCATTTCATGTCCAGAACGTCTTGTTTCAGATGTCACATTGTGCGCTTTACCTCAGTGCCTTACTTTTTTGTCAGTAACATCCTGCCAGTTGATGGAGGTGAAGAACTTGTGGGTCATCACTTCTTTGGCATCGTCTGGTCCACCTCCAAGCCTGTAAACACCAGAGAAACACTGTGATCCCCACCCACGTTCCAGCTACAAATCACTGCCAAAACGCTGTCATTAGAAATGTTCAACAAACACTTCTGTTGTGTTGTTCTCCTCGGACTTGTATTTACCAATTTCTGGACAAATTTCTTCTTCATTTCCTGACTACTTAAAGGTGGACGTGTTCGCAACCCTGCAGGCAGTGCTCAATGTGCTAATATTAGCAGTTCTTCGACTATTACCAGAAGCACAGGCGCTTGACCGCAACAACAATCAATTATGTCGCTGTTTATGGCCATTACCCTGAACCAAAACTAATCAAGAAGGAACATGGGCTTCAATAACATGGTTACTTATTTTAGAGTTCAATACTTGGTGCCCCTGAGCACAGTGGAAGATTCAGAAAACTAAGAGTACCGGTGCAAGGAAGTACATGTTGTCTTAAGCTGCACTGTACATCTTTAGGAGATTCATGCGTTCGAGCACATTCAGAAGCCAGTCCTGGACTAGATGGCACCCCCCAGGCCAACACAACTCAGGTCCACGATAACTGTCACTATATACTGCATAGAGGACGACATAATCTCTGCACCAAATGGGCACTACATATATACTTGTGGTTGGTGGCGATCACTGGATGGTTGAAAATGTGTTCACTCCTTGTTTCTTTGATATTCGTGCACCACAAACACACGCACTCCATCGGTCTCCCATCTGATTATCATGCATTGTTTGTTTCTTCATAGCAATTTTATTCGTCCGTTTGCATGTGGCAAATTAACTTTGCATGTTTCTGAAGTGTTAACTTCATTCAGATGCATATACTCCAGTAGTTGACTCACTGTAATAATAACCTGCCGATATGTTGCCGTTATGATGTGTTTGGTTATGTGACTCTCCAGTCACACGGGGGGAATGCTGCGGGATTCTGACATTGAATAAATGACAAAACTGGAAACTATGATGTTTAGACTTATGCACAAACAAATGATGAAAGTGGAAAATGGTGATGTATAAACTGAGTTCATATATACACTGAACAGTCCTGTGTAAACCACAACCCAATGAAAACACCCGTAGAATACAGTAGTTGAAACTAATAGGCTCTCTCTCTGTACGCTGTGTGAGGTGATGTAAAGGTCGTGATGACTGAGATGGTCGAGCAAGTGTAAGCAGCAAATGTCTCGAAAGTCAGAGAACTGGGAGGAGAAGAAGACGAGAAAACCCTGGGTGTGATTTTTAATTTATTTTTTTTTTAAAAGGAGGCAGTGGTCCGCCCCTACAGCTCCCCTAGCTGAGCAGGCACATAGACTGTATAAAAGATTGACGTAGCAACCGGCCCTGAAAAATGAAGCCAACCCGGAAGTGTCAAAAACCTGCAATATCACTACATCCACTAGCTGCTGGCTCCAAAAAGCCCTTCATAAACTTGAATTGGAAAAGAAGTGATGACAGATCACGAAACACCGCATTCCTACAGCTCAGGATTTTTTTTCTTATTAGTTTTCATGTTCAAATCCAGAGATCAGGTGGCCAATCTGAAAATAAATCAAAATTTTTAAAAAATCGTCAAAATGTTGCGGGGCAAAGGGAGTGGCTGGCTTGATTGACAGTCAGCAGCGACGATACAGACGAAGCGAGCAGAAGACGGTAAATGTGGGCGGGCAGAGAGGGCCCGCCTCTCAATCCGTCTGACCAATCGCTG